ATTATATAATATGTCTTTGTTGTAAATGTCTGTAACATGTCTGTAGATTTTATTTTACTTCTATTTTTTGTTTTGTTCTATGTTAATTTTATTATTTTTATTTGCTTTGGCAACACTGATTGTACCAATCAGTCATGCTAATAAAGCACCTTGAATTGAATTGAATTGACTGAGCTGGTTTACCCGCGCACCCAGCCGATATGGATCGATAAATAGCCCCGGCGTCCTCCCCCGTCCATACCCATGCGCCTCAAAGCGGTCCCCCGGCGGGCAGCCAATCAGAGGGCCGGCTAGGACAGACGTAAACAACTGCACACCTTTTGTGCCCGAAATGAAAACCCCAACACCGAGACCCAGGCTCCTTGCAGAACAAACATCGCTACTTTGTATCATCAGCCACCCCCCTCCCCAAGAACTCACCAAAACTCGCCGACCAGCCCTGGCATTTTTCAAATCTCACATCACCAGCAACCGTGTCGCATTTACCGCCTATTGCCTGGCTGGCTAATCTAGATACCGATTAAAAATGCACGATCGTCGCGATGCCAGGCATTATCTGCGCCTTCGGTCCCATAAAGGTTACCCCTCCTTTTTTTTTTTTTTTAAGAGAGAGAGAGTTTATGAAAACTTGAAAAATAAACCACATTGCTTTAAAAAAAAAAACGGGCTCGGTGCAGGATTATTTAAAAAAAAACCGCAAAAGATTTTTTAAAAAAAGAAACCGTGCAAACGGTTTGGCCTAAAGCTCCGGTCTTTGAAGAGTGTTTTGTTTTTTTTAAATAAGGACTAAAACTTTCTGGGGGAGTTCCCCCGCTACCCAGAGAAAGAGGAGGCCCAACGCGGAGCCCCGGCCTCGATTTCCACACAATAGCTACAGGCCGGGGAAACCAAGTGCGACAGCGCGGGCGGCAAAGCGAGACCGAGCTAGGCCTCCGTGCATGCACACCGATGTAGTGAGTAATGAAAGGGATGTCTCACTGGCAAGCAACTGTCCGTCCAGTCCCGTGCCTGCTGGCCCGAGGGGGTCGCCCTTTTTGGGCACTCCTGTCCCACCGCCACCCGGCCCGGCGCCTGCAGCTCCTCCGAGTGGGTATCCGGCCGCTGGTCCCCCGGGCAGAGAGAGCGGGACGGGGCTGCCTCCGCCGCCGTGCAGCGCCAGGCCCGCCATGGACGGGTCCTCATGCAAGAACTGACACTCGTCTCCATAGAAGCAGGTCTTGTCCTTGGCGTAGTACCGGCAGAACTTCACCTTGACGCTGGGAATCCCGACCCCCGCCAGCGGAGTTGCTGAAGCTGGGAGCCCGCTGTTCATGGCCCTGCTGCTGCTGCTGCTGTCGCCACCGCCGCGGCCGCCGGAAGATACTCGAACATAGAGAGCGAAGCCGAGCAGACGAGACACCAAAGTGGGTTATTTGCAGCGTTCAACAGTAGGGACAAAGCCTGCGGTGCCGCCAGACACGGGCAAGCCGGAGCGACCCGATGCAGCGTATTTGGGTGCTTTTGCTTCCTGAATCGGCCGTCCTTTTGTACGTACTGGAACAATATCCACGGCTGGGGTCCCAGGGCGCTACACGCACAGGGAAGTTTCTTTCACTTCACTGTTGTGTTTTTTTCTTCCTCTCTTCCTCTGGAATCACTTCGCTGAGCATGAGCAGACAGCTGCATTGTGGGTAGAGAGGCAATCCAACCAGAGCAAACTGCGCTGAGACCCTCAGCTGCCTCCGAGCGACCATCTTTATCAGCTTGGGATCTCCGACCTAAAAATCCGATTTCATTTACGGGGGGGAGGTTTTGAGATCGGATCGAAAAAGCCCCCCCAAAAAAGTAAAAAAAGGACTTCCTTTCGCTCGTGTCCGCACGAGAAAGGCGGTGGTCTCCAACAAACAGGTTGCACCGTCCTGGCAAGACAATGTCCCCCCGTGGCGTTTCCAAATCTGCTCTGTCCGCTGATCGGATGGCGCACTGAGACAGACCGGCGCCCAGCAGGGACCCCAGGTAGCGCAGTTACGCGCAATTCGCTCTGAACGGCCGCCCTGGCATGGCCCGCGACAGCGCTGCCAAATGCGAGGCGCTTTGAAGGAACCGGGGAAGAGAAAAACACCGTACGACAAATGTGCATGAGACAGTCGTCATGAGATTTTTTTTTTTTTTAGATAAGTGGAAGGGAAAAATAAAGTGGACTGATTAGGGCCAAATAAAATGGACCTGGCTAGGCTGCGTGGGTCCGGGCAGCGCTACTCTGTGACAGGCACATACTGCCAGTGCCGCACTCACAATACACTACTGTGCAGTAGCTGATCCTTACCTTCACGGTAGGGTCTGGGAGTGAGTACAGGGAGGCGCGCTTCTGATCTGGGGAGGGACACTTCCCAGTCAGTGTAGCAGAAGGTGGTAGCCCTGTCTGTACCTCAGACGGCGGACGGTGGGAGCAGAGCAAGCCGAGCTCTGAGTCGACACGTCTGCCTTGTATCGCGCAGTTTTGGATGGCCAGGCTGTGGCGACCGAGCCCCGTAACTTCGTAAAGTCTGCCTCTGCGATGTGGCAGGTGGATTCTAGGTTAATCAGCGCTGCTTACCAGTTTGAGAGTTTTGCATCGTTAGTCATTGCCCTGTCGGTGCTGGGTGCTTTGTTACGTGTCACTACGAGATCGCACCTACTTGTGATGCGCCTTCTGTTATGGAGTTCAGCAGTGCCCTCATCAATTTCAGAGGTAGCTTTGCACTCTCCTTGTGGGAAACGTTGTCTCTCTAGTGTGCTTGTTTCCATGCTCGGGTTCTGCCATTGACCCAGCAAAAGATTTTTAAATAAAGATAAAAATATTGCTAAAGATAGGAAGTTAAATAAACATGTTTGAACTATATATATTCCTCCACCTCACTGCTTTTGGAAAAGTCATGAATCATATGTTGTTGTTGTTGTTGTTGTTGTTGTTGTTGTTGTTGTTTACTTTGCATACAGTTTGAAGAATTCAGGTATTGGATTAAGGTGGCTGAAAGTTTTGCACTGAAAGGTTATGCATTCATTACTTTAAAGACTAACATATGAGATTTATTAGATCAAGAAGTATTATAAATGAAAACATTTATACATGTATAAATAATTATAGAGACACTTCTTTCATTAAAATATGCCTGTTCAATAACTTTTATGTATTCTTAATATTCCATTTTATCAAACTGTTGCTGTACCAGTGAAATTTCGGGTCCATTCCTAGGACATCTATGATTTTATCTTACAAGTATTTAGCTCTTTCAACTTTCCCAGTTATGATTTTACCAAGGACATTACTGAAACAGCACTCGTTAAGAGAATGATTTGCTCAATGATATCTAATGCTGGATGGCTTAATATTCTTCTTCCTGATTTAACTGAAGCTGTTGTTACTGTCATTCGTGACAGGCTTAAAAAAGAGCACATGAAAAATTATCTAGGGATCACTGATACATCCTTTGATTTGGCTCTTGACTGGCTTAAGGAATTTAAGGAATTGTGGTCCCACTGGATTCATGTAGTCAGTAAACAAATGTCCCTGACAAGTTATGTTAATTAAAACTGTTTAAATTGCAAAACCATTTCCACTTTTGTCAATACATAACAGAACCCAATTAATAAACTGCTTTAAATCAGCATTTGTCATGCTTGTGACATTGTGACGGTTATGGAGTTCCCCAGGGTTCTGTGCTGAGGCCTTTGCAGTTTAGTATGTCCATGCTGCCGCTATGTTGATGACACTCAGATTTACTTACAGGCTAAATCCGGCACCGTCCACCTGCAGGGCGTCCCTGACTGCTCCCATCATTCACAATGCATCAATTTATATTCAATGAATTCACATTAGTATAGAAAGTTCAAAAGCCTCATCAGGGCAGCTCAAAGTAAATGGTTTAGCGGCTCATAGAAAATGTTTCAGCAGCGAATCCACTTTCCCATTTAAACCTTATTGATTCCTTATCACGTTTTCCTCAGCATGAATTAAGTTTTTTCCTCTATCATCTACAATACTAAATTAAATGGTCAAACTTGCAGCAATTATAGACTTTCGAAGCTCAAGCTGTGTGAGAGGAATTGTGTGGGCGAGTGTGAGCATGCATTTTTTGTTTGTTTGTCGAGGTAGACGGCTATGGTTGGTTTTGTGTGCTTGATGGAACAGTGATTAAATATACTGAAGAGAGGTAATTGCAGCAGAATTGCACCTGAACCTCCTTGAACTGTTTGAATTTCCTTCCTTAAAGGGAACCGCACCAGGATCCTCGAATTTTACAGCAGGAAAATAATTGTGAATAGCAGAATTAAGACTGCGGCACAGTAGTACAGTGTATACTGTATGTACAGTGTGTGGCATGAAGGTCAGGTGGAATTACACCATTTTCATGTATTTGCACTTTGGGGATGCTAATTCAGATTCAGAGCAATGCACCTGAATTGTGCGTGGACTCTGCTCTCCGGCTCATGAGCTGAGTTGAGCTCCACCTCAACACCACTGAAAGTTGGTAACGTGACGCAGAGACGGGCAGGCGTAACCTTTTGTCGGGCAGTGCCGTGTGCGAAGTTCTTCTTTTTGAAGTCCACCGCTCTCTGTTTTAGTGCACAGTCTTGGACGTGCACGATGAAACAGGCTGATTTACGGTAATGGGGCGATTTGCGATGCAAACCTTCTGCAAGGAAATCGTTCTGCTGGGTAAGTGAGGCGCAGCGCCACCGCGCCCAGACAGAATCAAGGCACTTTGATATCTACCATGTGATGCTTTGAATGAATTCACAATGCTGCAAATGGTAAACAGTTCTATTCTCTTGCGGCTTCACAGAGTTAATCGTTTTTTTTTTTCAGAACGACTGTGGTATTTGTGTCAAATTCGTGATCTTTTACACACGCACCGTAACAGGTCCGTGTCGGAGACTACGCCGAAGGGGCTCCGCAGCGCCTCTCTTAATTACGATGATCTCAGCAGCTCGTTCAGCAGCTATTAATGTTGACCTTGTTTAAATGACCGTGTAATTTCACAATTAAACATAATTCAACCCACGGGACTTTTCCGTCCTCGATTTTCTTAAGTGAGAACATAAAGATTCAAATAAAGACAGCGAGGGAGAACAGTTCATTAAAATCCGTCGAAAGATAGTAGTAACAAGTTCTTTATCGCCATTTCTAAATATATCAATACCCAGTACACCAAAAACCACAAAGATGCTAAACAAGGCCTTGATCTTATACTTAAAAGCAGTGTTTTGACCTAAAACTATGACGGACGCACATTTTAGTTTTAATACCACAATACCTTCTTCTTAAATCGTTATCCTGTTGGTGGACGGTTTTTGTCATTGTGTCATTCCTAGCTGCGCTCAAAACCAAACGGTTGTAAACACTTAAAAAAAGATTAAGTCACCAAATAACAAAAACTATTGACACAAATTTATAGCGAAGAGACGTAACCGTTTGTAATTTTAGAAGTTATAATATGCACCATTTAGGCGTCTTGCTGAGTAATTATTTGACTTTCAGCTCTGACGTTAAAACGGATATGAAAATAATCGGATGAGTCTGTCAACCAACAAAATACTCCTGCTTGTATACAGTGCGCAGCACCAATAATCCTTTATGACTACATGCAAGCTCTACACAAAACATAAAAAACTAACCTAACATTTATTTTCAATGTCACACATTGCAACGTTGCTGTTTAACTCAAATTAATAAATGAATGTATTAATTTATTGACCGTAATTTCCGCCGGCTTTCCACACAACAACCTGTTCACCTGGTCTGATCGATGGCAGCGGCGAAAACCAGCTCAGTCAAATCTACAGATTTGTGTTCAGAGCAATTGAGTAAAAATATCAAACTGGCCAATTCCTTTCACTGCCAGATAACATCTTCAGAGACAAAACTTATTTCAGCTGTTAAAGGGAAGGGTGGTAGCGAAAAATGAGAATTATTGTCCGTATTTGAATAAGGTGTTGTTTACATCATTTAATTGTTATCATTATTAATATTAACAGTAACTTACAGTAGAACCGAAGTCTTAAGAAGGAATTTTCCATCATTCATATATTATTTTTCCCTTTAGCCGATTGAATATCTGCCTCCTGTACTCAATTCTGTGTATATTCCATATAGCTTGCGCATCTGATACTGTAGACTTTATACTGAAACAATGTTTTATTTGTGAAGGTATTTCTCTCTAAAAAAAAAACAGTTCTCTTCTGTTAGGAGCGTTTTCATTAGCTCGTTTTAAACCTCGACGGAAAACTTAAGAATGTTTTCTAAACGTGTTTTTTTTTAAAAAAAAAACATATAGGCCAAAATATCTTGAAACACAACTACACGGTGCTTAAAGTTTCTGATCTTGCCTGTAAACCATGGCAACGATACCACCGTCACGGATGGATGTCTCTTTTTTGATCTATCTGAGCTCATTACACAGTTGGACTCATTCTTTGTCTTACTGGCCAAGCCGGGCACCTATACGACCAAGACGTTCGGTACACTACTCCAGCCCATCGAGTGCTTCAGTGAATCGTCCCTGTTGCTTGCCTGGAGTTACTCAGCGGACGCTTTCTGTATATTGCAGCTGTCACTCTTCCGCTGCTGTCGGCTGAAGCGCCAGGCGGTGGGACGGTGCCCCAAGTCCAATGTTTCGTGACGCGTAAGGTAAGAGAGACAACTGATTTGAAGAAGACTCTGGGGATCTAAAAGTCACCCATCCTCTGGCAGTGAAGCCTGGCACGACGTCCTTGTGTAACCAGGGCGGTGCAGTTTGCAGCAGAGCTACAGATCAGAGACTCCTCTGATTGTCCTCCGATGGACATGTGGAGCTCGTCTTACCAAAGAGCTGCCTATATTGTGCTGGCAGCGTTTCCAACGAGAGCTACACTTCCAGAGGCCTGTGGAGGAGTGATTTTTCTTTTCTTTAGCATTCCATGTGAGGTTTCGGTTGGTTTAAAGGCATTCACCCACCAAATTAAGTGGAGTTTTAGTGTCTCCGAGGCCGAGACTGCCATGCTGGAATCAGAAAAAAAAAAATTGTACCGCGCCTCCCCTAACTAGTACCGAAACAGTCGTCCTTTCTGCTAGCTCAGCTCACAAGCGACACATGCAAACCTCAATGAGGGAATGTTTCAACACACCCAGCTCAAATTAAACCAGAGGCTTTACAGATTCTGCTAAAAAGAAAGAAGGGAAAATGTATTCGTTTGTCATATTACATATTCTGATAACTGGTTTGCTAATTTATTTTAATAAAGGCCCGGGTCTTTCCACGCCCTTCGTTAACCAGAAATTTCGAATCGTTAACTCGTGAAAGAAGAAAAATTATGTTGTTTTTCTTATTTAGAGTGTCAGGTCGGAAATCACATGTGGAGCTTCCGTGCTAAAAATGCAGAACGGGACCTGTGTCTCTCCTGCGGAGAAGGTGACCAAAATGGAAATTGAGAAACACGAAACTGTTGAAGTACAGGCCCAGCTGAACAGTACAGAACACGTTGATTGTTACTGGCAACATAAGGAAAAGGGAGAATGCCTTTCTTATCGGGATGGGTACGTATTTTTATAATTATTCGTCACGTTCTTTCGTTAGTTCAGGTGGGTCGCTGCGTCTGCATGCGTAGGCTGCAAAGGAACAAGCAATATTCCAAGCAATAAAGAGAAGAAAATAAACACAACGTTTCAGCCGTGGAGCCTTCTTCGGGAGAAGAAGGCTCCACGGCCGAAACGTGTTACAGTATCTTTCTTCTCTTTTCAGCATGGAATAAACCTATTACTTGTTCTTTCATTTACAAACCCTCTAGAAATCAGTGCAATGAAGAATATTATGCTTGAGACTTTAAATTAAAAATAAAACGTCAAACATCCCTTCGAAGAAAAAGCAATAAAACTGTACTGCATTATGAGACTCGGTTTTACGCTAAAGGTGGCTTATTTTAAACTCCGGCCACTGTTCTCTACAGGTATCTGTAGTGGCCTATACTGACATCTGGTGGTTTAAAGTAATATAATACGTAGGTAGATACGTAGTTAACTGTAAATAATGCATTAATATTGATAGGAGAGGGGGACAGACATGGGGAACAAATAGAAGATTTCAAATGCATTTGACTGACAGCAAGTGATTTCAATTCTAGCTTTTCAAACCATGATGATTAGAGGTCCGAATTTCACAAAATGTCTCGTTGCTGTTAAATTAAAGTTGGCGTTTCAAGCCTGTCCCGGTGAGCGTCTCGCCCTTTCGTCAAAACCTCAGACATACGACTCCGGAGAAAGCGGGAGGGAAAGTTCATTCGTTGTCTGGTTGTCGAAGAGTAATAAACGTAAATCAATAATCTGATGTATAAAGACACGGTGATGACACGTAAGACATTTCAGGGAGATCCCCGAAAAGATCATTGGTTTCAGGTACTGTCCTTCGTTTTCTGAAAAGATTAATATTTCTTTCCCCGTCCACGATTATTCAAGAATCCAGATTTGCTGTAGTGCAAGAAGGGTTCGAAATGCTGACCTCCTGCAGCCGAGGGGACAGCAGTCCAACCACGTACATTCTAGGAATTGAGCAGTGGAGCGCTTGTCTCCTCAGGAACAGCCACGCGTTTGTGATCCCCCAGGCAAACGGGAGCCATGCCGGAATCCATATCCTCTGTCTCCAGAACGGCGGCTTTGGCTATTCCGTGGCGTTTTCTCTCTGGCTGAAGCGTGAGTATCCTGTGACCACCTCGTTCCCCGCCCTTTCCCGGGGAGAGACGATTTCCAAATCTTTTCCAGGTTGAAGTAGCCAGTTAAAAATGTCTGACGGCAATAACCTCCGAGATGAATTAAATACATCTACAGTAATACATCTATTATTTCCTTCCTACACACACCAAAGGGCGCAGGAAAAGACTTCCACTTATTTATTTTTTTTTTCAGTTGCTCGCCCAGTCCAAAATAACAGGCCTGTTTTGCTTATTTGTTTGGCTTTTGGTTCTGTGCGCAGGAAGACCAACACCGCCTCAAATAAAACCATTGCCCAGCGCTGAAGGGTACGCTCTTCGGTTACAGTTCAGTTCGGAGGGGTATCCTGAACCACAATTTAAGTGGTATGGCTGTCTCTCACAAAGGTAGGCGTGGGTCTGTTTTCCGTTTGCTTGATTAAACACTGTTTATGATGCCCGACATCTTTAAACATTTTTTAAATGTAATTTGTTAAATCTGTTGTATTACTAGATGTGCGATACGATCATCTGTGATGTGTTGAAGACGTGGAATGGACTTGGCACTGTTGCCCCTGAAGGGTTAATGATCAGTAGAATAACAATACTAGACCCGTTTGTGACTTTTATCTGAAGTCATGTTTTGATTGGTTTCATTTGCTTCAGAGATGTGCATTTCCCGATCTGCTTATTTCCATCGTGTTTACTCGCATTGCAAAATAATATTCAGCTGCCCCCTCAAAAAAAAAAAATCAAAGTTTGAAAATCTGAGCTGTGCATCACTGACAAGAGACGCTAAGTAATCACGGTTTTTAAATCACTTTAAAAAATGTTCTTTTATATATATATATTGTAGTCAGAGCTGTGAACTGAAAACCGGACACCTTGAAGTTCACACGGAACGCCAAAATGCCGTCTCAGAAGGACTTGTGAAAGTGTTTGCTACGATTTCAGCGTATGATTTAAAAGAAAATAGAGTTCTGTGCTGTGCGAGAAATGAAGTTGGCGAGGAGTGCTCCAGGCTGTACGATTACGGTATGTGTTTATGCTTATAATTTGCGGATTGTGATGAGTTTGCTAGTCATGTCAGAAACTGAGGTTCTGTCAAAATATCACAAAACACAGGTGTTCTGATACTGATCCTTGCAGGGCTCACTCGAGTGGACCTTGATCTGAGGTTCCGAGGTCAAAAATGAATCTTTCATGTTGTACCATTTTAATTCAGCTCAAGAGACTACATTTGTTAAAAGCTGCATTCGTGTTTTCTACACAGTTGTCAGTGTGATACATATTTTAAATATTTTTATGATGTTTCTTTTATTTATCTGCCAACCTAGAGCAGAACAGAAAAAACCCGAAAATCATTTCTTGCCTCTCTTTATTTCAGATCTCCGTTCTTTGGACAGAACAGGATATGTACCTCAAGTATTTATAAAAACTGGCCAAGCACTGCTTTTACGTTGCAGTGATAAAAACTATAAAAAACCTCTATCCTGGACCTCAGATAAACCAGTTAAGGTAAGACATCACGTAAAATGTCAACTAATGAATGAAGGACATGGAAATATTGATTTTATATGCAGTATACTGTACTTGCAGTGAACATGTATATGTGTGTTTTCTCTGTTTTATTTTTGAAATGCCATTAAGGTGCGATACTATGAAGACTCTTACCCCCGACTGAGGCAAACGTACTTATACTTTGATTCAGTAAGCTCTGAAGATAGTGGCAATTACACATGCAGATCTCCAAGGAATGCATTTATATCCACAAGCATTCAGGTTGTTGGTGAGTTGAGCTGTTGTTTTGTGGCTCATTTTTGTCTTCCTGGCAGGTGTCAACATTTTGGAAGGGTGCTGTAAAATTCTCTTTGGTCAGTTTTTTGGTTCTGTTCTGCCATCTCATATTTAACTTCCTGTAAGGACATAAAGACTCCACACTCTTGATTGAATTTGAGCTTCAGTGCTTTTAGAACATGGGGCTGGTGTGACAGCAAGTTGCCTAGGTCTCTTCAAAGCACACTAACACCCTGAAGAGCTGATAGAATCTGCTAGATTGGTCCAATAAGCTAGTAACTAGTAGATTTAAGATAACATTAAGAGCAGAGTTGGAATAAAAGTAAAAGTTAAGGTACATTCGTTGAATATGAGTCAGACCATCTGATTATGGCCATGCTGGAAAGTTAATTTATGATCCTGTTTTTTTCATTGCAGAAAGAGGGTTTATCAATATATTGCAAATGAAGGAATACAATGCAATTCAGCGTGATGACAAATTCTGCTTTGAAATCGTATTATCGTCATACCCTGACGTGAGGTGTAAATGGGTCTCTCCGTCGGGAGGCCGTCAAGACTGTGAGGACTCAAATCCTTTTAATGGAAGCAGGTAGCTATCTCATATCTGAGAGTTCTCGTTTTGGCAGCGGGGACCTGTGAAAAATGTAAACTACTTTGTAGGAAGCAGTATGTGACTTTTTTACATATCAGGATTTTGTATTTCATTTTTATTTAATTTTATGTAATGTTTAACATTTTACCAACAGATATATATATATATATTTCTTAAAGGGTATATATCCTGAGAGTCATTAAAACTGCAACAACCTGTACTGTAAATGGAAAACATCTGAAACAGAAGAAAAAAAGACAATTTTAAGACTACTGAAAGAAATAGTATTTTTCAGATGCAATACAGTACATTTTAAGTATTATTTTAAAACTATGGGAAATACTTTAGAAACATAGTGTGGTCATGAAATGTGCTCACTACCACTCGTGGTTCGGAATGGGCTGAAGAAGCAGTGGGATTTTAACAGGCTGGACTCTACACCCAGTTCTATTAAAAACACGCCAAATGATCACCCTGCGTCTCTGACCTTAGCTTTGAATACAGGCCATTGGTATGATGTAATGGGAAGCAGGCTTATTTTCTCTGTTTTGACAGGACTTTTAAATACTGTGATCATCGGAATCTTCCAGGACTGTATCAGTTTTATGCCGAAAACGATGATGTCAACATAATGAAAAATCTGTCGCTCTGTGTGAAAGGTAAGGTAGGGCTCGTTATTGCACAGAGGACTGGGCCTGCTGATAAGTGTTGACAAGGAAGAGGAGTGTAGGTCTGGCCTTCCCAGCGGCTCAGTGGGTTTGGCTGTGCCAGGGTGCACCCCTGAGGGTGGGGTTGGCTCTGGTTCTTTCTTGGCTTCCAGTGAAACAGCGACGCCCAGGGAAGGCTAGTGGTGACATCAGCAAGAGACGCGTCTCTCCTCTGATTGACGTTGAGCCCCCCTGTAGGTTTCTGGTAGCAACTCGGCTTGACAGGTTATTTAATCCAAAAATCAGACGAGCCTGCTCGCACCTCCTCCTTCTCCCCACGTGGGTTTCTGTGATTTTGTCCCTGTGAGCCAAAGCAAAAAGAAGAGAGCCCCGATGTGGTTTCCACATTTAGCAATTAGAGTTGCAGCCCAAACTCCAGCCATCAAACTGGGCTGAAAAGCCCAGTTTGTGTACAAAACTCTTATTCAAACAGGTGCCCCTTCCAGAGAAGGTTGGATAGAAAACACTGTTGTTAAGGGCGAAGAGAACTCCGTGACCTGCATCTTTAATCTAATCTATCTGTTGCTGTCAGTCAAATTCTTGCTTCTTTTCACAGCAAAACCAACACCACCACAGCTCACATTATTACCTAGAAGTGATGGCCAGGGGCTTAGATTTGAATGCAGTTCACAGGGTTACCCGACACCACAGATCAAGTGGTACACAAGTAATACTGTAAGGTGTGTATGGTTTTGATTTGTGTATCCATCATAATATATGCTGCCAGTGCTAACTAATTAAACAATTATTAATGTCTTTAGCGTATGGAGTGGGCGCTGGTTGTAATCTTTAAATAATTATTTGATAGATGTAGGGTAAATGTGCAAGATTTTGCGTCTCTCCGTGAGTCTTGTGCATGTGTAACAATTGCATCAAGAGAGACTGTGCTCAGTAAGTTACGGTCATGATTTGTGGGGCTGACAACTAACATTAGCAAACAAGTCAGTGTGCAAAAGAGTGCAAAATGTTTGTGTGCTACCCGTGCACTGCCAGGATTTTGTAACTCTTTCAGTTCCAGGTTAACTCTGCATGAAAATAAAATGTTGTTTGGGGAAAAAAAGATATTTCATCATGATCGTGTTTGTATTCTGCTAGCAGATGTCAGCAATTTGCATTATTTCTCTGATTGTTATTGCTATGTATGTATTGTGTTACATTTCGTCAACTCTTCTTCAAAGGCCTTCACATGATGTGTTTTGGAAAGAAAAACACAATATCTCTGAGGGGAAAGAGGAAGATGCAGAAATGTTCTGTCACAAAAGAAAATCGAGCGTCTTAGAGTTGAACAACCCGGCAGAAGTCTCCAGTGTTCGGTGCTGTGTTGACTCTTTTAATTCTTCATGTGTCGAGCTTCGTAAGTTCCTGACACCAGCTTGTGTTTGAAAGACATGTAGTATTGAAATTCCGCATCATTTAACACACAGGAGCAGCATAAATTCTCTTGAACAGTTTGGACAACACCTGTTGTTTAATTATTATATTGATTGAGTGTCAAAAATAGAAGCAACCTAAAAAAACTGAATTCTGACTGTTTCCAGCTTGTGTGAAAGACTTTATGACAGATAAAAATCTTGATTTTGATGCATGCATGATCTTTTCAAGTATTTTTTAGTATTGTAGCAGAGGGCAACTCTGTTCAGATCAGCTCAGTTATTTCACTTCTGTCCATGTATGGAGATGTATTTAAAGCTTGCACTGATTTGTATCTTCTCGGTATTTGTCTTGTTTATTGTAGCTGTTCCTCCTACATCATTATGGGATGTGTACTACATACACCTCTTTCTGTCAATCCTTGTGGTCATTCTCACTCTCCTGTTAATCTTCATGTGTACTAGAAAGGTACCTTCTGTGACATTTATTTATTTAATTGAATCAATAAAATTTAATTGACGTCGTCTTCTTTTCAAAACGTGACTTTTCAACTTTATTTTTTTAAGAAACCAAAATACGAAAGCCAGATGCAGATATTGCAGCCTCTGGGATCCTCTGATAATGACTACATTTACATCGACTTCAAAAACATGGACTACAACCCAAAGTGGGAATTCCCGAGAGAAAACCTGGAGCTAGGTAAGTTGAGGAGAGAAATCGAAAATGCCGATGCTAAACACATGGTCAGAGTGTGTGCGGGGAATTGGAAGCAGAAGCGCTGACCCTATTAAGGAATATCCTGGATTATAGGAACATCTGAGCTTGCATCGGGAATTATATCACAATTTAAAAAATCACCATGCAGATGAAAACAATAAACATTCCAAGGTGTAGCAAATTCCCCATAGCACCCGGGCTCTCTATAGCAATCATTCAGGACATCTTACTGTCAGAATCTGACCTCTCCCGGCATTCCTTAGGAAAAGTGCTGGGATCAGGAGCCTTTGGGAAGGTTGTGGAAGCCACTGCCTATGGAATCTGCAAGCCAGGAGTGTCCTTACAAGTGGCTGTCAAAATGCTCAAAGGTAAATCGAGTAGCGCTGTTGGTGGATGAAAGGGTTTAAAAAGGCCATTTATCTCAAACCAAGCTGTCCGGTCCTCTTCCTGGAGGGCCTGTGTGTCTGCAGGTTTCATTTCTAAGTCATGTTTGAACAACCTCCAGAAGCAGGATCGGACAGCCATGCTCTAATACATTCAAATGGAGATTTACTGTAGGTGACATCATCCAATTTCTTAAATGTTTGATAACAAGAATGTTGTGTATTATTATTACTGGATAGGTAGCATTTGTTCCAAGAGTTTCATTCACTAAAAATGCTTCAGGGGAGAAAACCAGTTTGGACAGGTACTGAGGCACCCTCTTTTGTCTTTGTTAGTTGATGTTCACAACACTTTGAAACATTCCCACCTGCCTCTTTACCAGCACTGAGCTTCTTCTCTTCCAGCTTTTCCAGCTGCCATGAAAACGGCGCTTTTCATTGTGCATGTCGATGTTACCTCCTATGCGTTGCTCTCGGCAGGCTCAGCTACAAAGTCTGTCACTGCATCAAGCAACTGACTGAATCTGGCCCATCATGTGTTCTGTGGCTTCTAGGTTTTTTTAACACCCCTTGAGATGAGGGTTTTTAAAAGCACTATATAAAACAGTTTATTATTACATGAAACCCGGATCACAAATCCACTATGTCTGACAACCTCCAAATCTATCTTCCCACCCCTCACCACCACCTTGAACTCCCTTAAAACATCTGACATAAGATGGGTGTCCCAAAACGGGCATTAGGAATCTGTTGGTGTTTTTTTTTTGCCTAGACAAAAATAATACTGAGCGCTCAATCGGGTGTGTTTCTACTAAAGCCCCATTAACATTTGTGCCTTAATGGAACAAGAAACCCACATAATCACCTTTAGTTACACAGGTACAATTCACTGCCATACACTTTCCATTTTCCTGTAAGAACAGGAGTAAAGTCTAGAGGGCTTGCTTCAGTCTGCATTGACATGCCTGCTGACCACTTGCTAGCCGTTGCAGATCACGCTAGCAGTCACTGGGAGTCGCCCTGGAGCTGGAGGGCTGCCTCTGGCCTGTGCAGCAGTTTCACACTTTGTGTCCTTCTTCTTCTGTTAAGCTGTTTTGCTGCCTAGAGCAAAAAGATAACATGTTGCTGGTCTTTGTCTGCAGCTTTTTTCCCCAAACAGCTGCTGTCCGTGTGTCTCCTCTGCCCCTGCTTTCAGCTCGCCCGTGTCCAGGCACCGGGAAATCGGAGAAGGGTATTTATTTTTTTAGATGCCTACCCACCAATCACAGCTGCTGTCTCCCTGGGAGGGGCGTAAGACTGTAGATCTGTGGAGAATGTGGCAAAACGGAGAGTATCAAAGGTGACCGGGTTTGTCAGGGCCACATCCCCTTGCTTTGTGCAGTTAAGGACAACGGCTGTCTGAAGAACAGGAAACAGCTTTCCTAAGCTGTTGAACTAACCATCACACCTCTGTTTCTTCGTACAGTGGCCCCTCTTCAGTTTCTTTAGAGTCAAGTTAAAAACTTGTAGGACCCATTGCCACAGCGATATGGCTCAAAGTGTCCTTAGGGCTTTGCACTGCTTTTGTTCACTGCTAGTGTATGGATTATTAATAGTCTTTATAAAGTAAGTCAGTGAGGTTATGACACCATCGTATTCTGTTTCCCTTTTTGAAGTAAACATTTAAAAACTGAAGTTATTTGTGCACTTACTTGCAGACTTTTTAGTCCTTACAACATTATTATTATTATTATTATTATTATTATTATTATTATCTTTTTAGGAGAGTTAAGCTGTTATAATTTGGTTGCTATGGGTTGCCAGAGGTGTAAAACTCATTCAGTCCTAAAACTGTTTAAAACGACTGTCTCACAGCTTATAATGAAAGGCTTCTTATTTTTATGAACAGAACCGCTATCTGCACCTAAGGACTTCAGGTTTTTCACAAGTCAAATGTAGTAGGAACAACACTGCATTCATTTACACTTTTAAAATATAGACATACTGTACGAGCATAAATACCACACTCATCACATGAATCGACTTCCTGTTCCTGTCGCGCAGAGAAACACCAGTCCTCCGAGAAAGAAGCCCTGATGTCCGAGCTGAAGATGATGACACACATTGGCAGACATGATAACATAGTCAACCTGCTGGGGGCTTGCACGGGCTCAGGTATGCCAGGACTGCCACTGCTTTTACACTGGTGGACAGGTTCCTCTGTTGCCCATCAAAAGATCAGCAATTTCAATGATGATGTTACGGGGAGCACATATGGTTGATCCCGGGAGCCATTCTGCTAGCCAGTGTGTGTGCTCATGTTGTGCCGATGAGGCCACAGGTAGATCACTGGAGTCAGAGCCCAGTGGGCTTGGGCATGAGTCCTCATGTTGTGCCAGTGAGGCCACAGACAGGCTGATCACTGCAGTCAGAGTCCTGGACTGTGGGCGTGTCTGTGTGTCCTCATGTGGTGCCAGTGAGGCCACA